TTAACAGCGCACACAGATACCACAGAAGACCACGACTACAAACCGAGAGTAGTACGCTTACTCCAAGAGCGATCCCCTCCAGCAGATTTAGCCTGTCCCCTCGGAGTAACCCAGCATCCACTTACTCAGAACAACTGTAAGTTGAGAAGGTGTCCGTGTTGCAAGCCTCTACACAACAAGGGACTAAATAATGAAGCAACACGCCTGTGCCACCTTACCACACCCCACACTTCCAGACCCACACAACAGGTTCTTGCTTTTTATCCCTTGCTCCAGCAGCAACCCTGTCTCCCTCCTCTACTCTGCAGACCACATCAAAAAGACAGCTGCTGTAACATTAAACAGTCCCAGCAGACTTTCAACACACTAAAATGAACTGAAGTCAAAGCCGCAGCGCACGCACCATGCGGGTATAGTCACCTGAAAGCACCACGCAGCTACAGTGTCCGCAGAGAGTGGGCGTCTCAGGTACAATACAGAATAGGAGACTGATAAGTAAACCGAGACTGGACTTTGACTCCCACCTTACGGTCTGTGACGCGGCGGGCTGGCCGGTCACTTCCGTGTACTCTCACCTGAATACCCCCCTCGCAGCTCGGGGAAAACTGGCGGAAGAAGTCTAGTAAAACCTTGCCGCTTCGGTGTTTACATGCAGGAAACAGACAGCACTCAATTTGTGGCTTGCTGAGTTAATGTAATAACATTATAGCGATACACCTCTCAGCCACTTACACCACTCATGTAATAAACTGCTGGGTTAAGCTTCTTAACGTCACGTTAGCGGGGTGGTTTATATCTGTAGCTGCCCTGACATCAAGCAGCCTTCACTGCATGCATAAGTTTAGTTAAACTTTCCCCAAGTCGCACTCTAGACAGGTTATTCATCAAGCTAATGGAGTACACCAGCGCTAGCTCAGTTAGCCTGTGCTACGGCGGCTAGCCTGCTAACGCTGCGTTTACATCAACCAAGTTCAGCAAATTAAAAGGTCACACCTCTTTCCACCGAACAACAAACCCCAACCAGCTGTACCGAGCGCACGACAACAAAACACGGCCCATTACCGGTTGTGGAGACTGCTAGGCTTGTTTTTCAAAGTCCATAAGTGTTTGCGAGGTGGATTCAGGCCTAGCCTAGCCGAGGTCTGCTGCCCGCTGCTGACACGATCCAAACGTCGACCCGCAGCCGAGGAGGAGAAGTGAGTTGAGACGAGACAACAGAAACACCTCAGCGTGGTCCGACAAACAGCCTACAGACGGAGCGTCCACCGCGGGGGACAGCACTCACGATGAATGCGGAGAAAACACCCACCTCTGTGATTTCCTATCTTCCTTGCCTTGGCTTGTTGTTCACTTGTCTCTGCTCTTCCTCTCCGCTGGGGGGAAGAGGGAGGTGGGGACGAGTGGCTCAGGAGGCGAGAGAATGGGAGAGGGGGGGGCGTTTTTAAAATATAGGTATGAATACAGGCAAAATGACTTTTTCATAAAGTAATATCGATATTATTAAACCACGATTGAATTAAAAGTACATATTACGTTGTTAAATGAATGTACCTTCCTTCGCTGTAAAGAAAACAAGTTTCCCATTTCGCGGTTTATAGTATAGTTAATAAAGCCCTCATATGCATTCAGATTTATGTATTTCTCATCTTGCAGCCCTTAAACTGAACACTTCACATTATATTTGTTGTGGGCATAGAAATATCCTTTAAAAATGAAAGCGCTCCGACATTGCCCTCATGTGGCCATTGAAGGGCAATTACAGAGCAGAAGAATAGCCAGCAGGAGACATCTGCTGTACTCACCCTGGGGACAGTGCACTGTTGGTGCATCTACTGAATATAATAAATGTTTTCACATGTGCTCTTTTTGAATTTGTGGAACTGTATATTTTGATTTGTCATGTGGCTATCCTGGCTGTTGTTGCTCTTACATCCAAAACATATGATCAGCTTCTAAAAGGCGATCATTTGTTATAATGTAGTAATAATAATAATAATAATAATAATAATAATAATAATAATAATAATTCCTAAGCATTTCAATGTGGAAATTATAATTTTCTTGCAGAAAAAATATAAAGACACGGGCATACATTATGGTTCCAAGCAGACTATTTGTATACATGTCTTCATATATGTCTGGAGGGGATCTTTGAACTACCCCGCAGTATATATCATAGTTAACATTAGTATGACAGCAACTATTAAATAATTTAATTGTTCTGTCTAAATCCCAGAAGCTAGTAAAAAATACCAACCACAATTTTCCACAGGAAAGTGAATGTTTTCTCAAACTCAGTATCAAAAGATAATTGGTTTGACAGCAAATCATCTCATTTGAGAAGCTGGAATATGTCATCGTTGCTTGAAAAATGTCATAAACCAACGTTGAAACTGCTGTAACATTTACTAGTTAATGCCTCACAGATAATAACATGATCAGTAATTATAAGCTAGCAATGTAATAATATAGGCACTTTTGATACTACTTTTTACAAGAATTCAGCTTTACTGAACTTTCAAATCCAAGCAGACAAATATTGTACAAACTAGCTTTGAGCAGAAAAGTATTGTGGTATTACAACTTTTATTTAAGCAGTTTAGCAGTGAAGTTGCAGATTGCAACCATTTCAATAGAGCTCAGCCTTCCAAACTTCTAGTGCCTATGTAAAGCCAATGTTTGGTTTGTCAATTCTGGGCTACTGTAGAAACATGGCAGTTCAACATTGTAACCTCCGTGGAGAGGACCCGCTCCCTTTGTAGACAAAAACAGCTCATTCTAAGGTAACCAAGACCCAACGATTCTTATTTTCAGGTGATTATACACTACTGAAAACAAACCTATGAATACTACATTTCTGCCAATAGACCCTAGTAAATGTTACACACTGGACCTTTAAGTAAAAGGTCTCAATACGTCTGCCACTACTGCAGTGCACATTTATTGACCCTCTGCCATAGATAACATTATCTTGTTTTGAAAGAATCAATTTCTTTTCCCAGAAACGACCACTAAGTGATGCTAGAGGTGCAGGGTTCTTCTAGGACTGCTGTCAGCACACATACCCAACAACTGTCATGTTTGTATGTATTGTTACACCATACTCCATGAAAGAGCATGATGTAGCATTAAAAGCAAACAGCACAGAACTTGCACTCTAATAATTGATTGACCTCTGAAGGCCTACATCCATCATGCCAAGAGGGTTTCACTTCCCATCAAACCATTATATGTAATTTAAAGTAAATATGCAGTTAAGTTATTTTTAGGGTCAGGTCACAAGTACATTTTAGTGCCATGTGTATATGGCCATGTAAATGTAAAAGACAACTCTCTAAAGGCTGAATAACTGATATTCTCTTTTAGGTTTATTATTTATTCTATTTACATTGCTTATCACATATTTAGGAAATGTCAATGCTGTCTCAGTGAAGTGTATGAATAAATAAATAAATACTTCATACTTTACTCTAGATCTGGTCATCTGGGCATGTGGTTCAGCCACAGTGCACAGGCTGAATAAAAAAGAAAGTATAATGCAAAAGTGAGTAGACACTGTGCCACAGCATATGCAGAAGTGTGATACTAGACAGACTGACAAAACGCAACTAAACCACCTAAATTGTCATATTTGATGCACACAGATTGGTGGTAGTACAAAGACACAAGAGGCAAAAGGAAAACTAATCTTTCTATCAGAAACAGAGATGTCTGAGGCCATTTATGATAATGATCCTGACGAACAAAAGCAAGCGGAAGAAACAGCCTCAAACACAACTGGAGAGAGAGATGTGGAGGAGAGGACAGTGTGTATTTATAAAAGCTTAGACATCTACGGGGGTCAACAAGCTGTAACCCAGAGTGCAGTGCATCAGCAGCCAGGTGAGTAACACACAAATGTCTACGTTTCCTTTGCTGTTTGAATGAGCATTTATAATGTTATAATAACGACATTTTCCATTCAGGCAAGACTTTGGTGAGGGCTATGATTGTGTGCCTGGTGCTGCTCTGTGTTCTCCTCCTGGCTGGCATCATAGGCACTGGACTCCGCTGTAAGGAATTTACATTTGTTGTCTTTTAAGACAGTCAGATTTGCGCTGCTAAACATCCACTCACCAACTTCAAATCAACTTGTTTTAGATTTCCTGTGCTGTTAAATGGTGGCAGATCAGAATAGTCTCAGTGTGTCATCTGTGTTCATGCAGGCAGAATCAAGCTGCCGTCCCACAACGAGAGCTGGGCTGAAGAGAGAAAACAGACATTGGCTGAACTCAGTGAGTGTAGACTTTGTTTTGTGTGCATATGACCATATGAAGTGAGAAGTGAGTCTTTTTCTGTATGTGTGTGTGTGTGTTTGTGTGTACAATGGACATTTGACACTTTGCCTTCCTAAATTGTGTACGCTTGCAGGTCATTTCTGTGAAGATGGATGCACATCATTCAACAACAGCTTCTACTACATTTCTTCTAAACAAAAGAGCTGGGACAACAGCAGGCAGGACTGCAAAGACAGAGGGGCAGATCTGGTGGTTGTGAAAAGCGAAGAAGAGCAGGTAAGAAAAAACAAGTTAAAGATTGTGTTCCCTAACATTGCATTGAGTGCAGCGTGTTTAGTTGGGTTAGTGCTGTCAGAGGAACTCACATTTTCATAGTTTTGTTGACTTTGGGTACTGTTGCAGATATTCATCAATTCCTTAAACCGTATATTCTGGATTGGTCTGACTAGCAGAGAAGAAAAGGGAACTTGGAAATGGGTAGATGGTTCAGTTCTGAACAGCACAGGGTAAGACTTCTTCTTCTTGTCTCCAGTGCTGTGACCACCACTGAGTGGATTATCAGTGTGTTGTGCATCATGTTTAAACCCCAGCCAATCATTTGATTGTCTGTGTTTACACAGGTTTTGGAACAAAGGTGAGGCCAGTGGGATATCTGGAATAATGAAGCACTGTGTTGTCACCTATTATTACAATCATCAGAGAAGCTGGAGTGATGAAAAATGTTCCAAATCACAATTATGGATCTGCGAGAAAGTGACTGACCTCTAAGATTACTTTTGATCCTAAATACAAAATATACAGTGATGAGCACCATCCAACAAGATTGTGGCATTTGTTATCTCTTGTTTTCTTGTTAATAAAACTGCAGCATAAGAAAGACCAAACAGGAACAAGATCATTATATCAAGTTCAGATTCATCACCCAGGTACCCATCTTGCCAGCCAAATGTACAGTTTCTACTTCATCATAAATCATCATAAAAAAAGTACTTATAAAATGTATTTTCATCAAATGATGGTCTTGATTTTGCTTTAAATAGTTAATATATCACTGCCATATTTAAATGGAATTATATTATTTATCAATTTAGACAGAGGCAATGTGCTGCCCAAGTTTGATCCCAAATAATCCCAGGCATGTTTTCTGTAATATGTCAGTGATCTACCAAAGTCAATGCTTCTAAAGGCTATGAATTGATATGTTACAAAACTTGAAAATAAGACTGTAATCTTTGAATTCTTACTTTGTCATATATCATGCACACTTATATTGTCTCTTTAATTTGATTGAGTGGTTTCAATTAAATCGTGTCACTACTTGACTGTGACAAATTCCATTAGACTCAGTGGTGCAGTGCAGGATATATATATATCCTGCACTGCATATATATATATATATATATACCAGTTACAGTTCTAACTGCAAAACTAAAGATGACCTTGCCTTTGCTGTTTTAGCCCCAACATTGTGGAATAGTCTTCCCCAATCACTCAGATTTGCTGAATCTGTGGACTGTTTTAAGCTGCTCCTCAAAACCCCCTTCTACAGGCAAGCCTTTTTATAGATGTCCTTCTTGTTTGTTTTCTCATCTGTCGTCTCTCTTTTAATTTATCCTTCCCTCTTATTTTATCTTCCGTATGTTTGTATTTACATGCTCTCTACCCATGTTTGATTGGGTTTGGTTATGCATGTACATATTTATATATGCATATACTCATATGTATGTTTCTTGTTTGTAAAACACTTTGTAACTCTGTGTTAAAAAAGTGCTATATAAATAAAGCTTAACTTACTTACTTACTTACCTGGAATCTGACATGGGCCACATTTAAAATGTAATGTCAAATGCCAAATAAAACTAAAAAATCAGATCTGAGCAATAAACTAGAATTGATCGCTAAGGCTTGCAGTGTGAATGTTTTAATCTGCAACTACACCGCTAGATGCCACTAAATTCTACACACTGAATCTTGAACAACCTGAAAAACCTTAATAATGTCAACCATGCAGAGACACTCAGTCTATGATTGAAATGCCCCACCCAGTGTTGAGTTGCAGACATATTGTAGCTTAGAATGAGCGAGTAGGTGTCAGAATGCTGAGGGACAGAGACAGAGGGTGTCGTGAAGAATAACATCTCCTCAAACAGCCTGTAGCACAGTAGGTAAGTCTTGTAGGGTTACTGCTGGCCATGGCCCCAAGTATAATTACTATGTGGTGCCTATGTGTGTGTGTGTGTGTGTGTGTGTATATGTGTATATATTTTTATTTCTATCATATGTATATATACATATGCATTTTTACATAGTTTTAGAATATTATCATCAAAACAGTTATTCATTTTCTTAACATTAGGCTATACTCAGACATGTGCAAAAAATCCTGAATAGGATCAGAAGTGTGTGTGTGTGTGTGTGTGTGTATCAAGAGAGACATATTAAGACAAAGACTCTCTGTGTTTATGTGCTTCCTGTTGACAAAAACAGAATCTGCTGATCTAATTTCAATTGGAGATGATTACCACAGAACACACACTTGTTAGAATAAATACAAAGGTCAGTGTGTTTGTATTGAGCCCTGTCATACTGTAGTCAGCAGTGTCCGTGTTTTTCTAGGTAACCTCTGTGATCCTGGTTATTGCTGTCAAAGTTTTACCACTCCACTACTCACCTGGCTGAGCTACTCAGGTAGAAGCAGAGGAGTTTGGCAGCATGTTGAAGTTCAGTGGAGGAAGGAACAAATTGTACTACCGGTTGACACTGCTGTCTGGATTTGTAGAGAGTTTGTTCTTCACAGGGATTGTCTTCGGCTGGGCTTCTTTGGTCTTTGTGCTAAAAGTTGATGGCTACTTTGCTGGATTCTGTTCCAACACCACCAGAGAGGAGGACAATGCTGTGTATATAGGTATATAAACATTCATATATTGTAACCTTAGTTAGTTTGCTCATACTAAAATTAGTTAACCTTCAAAGCAAATAAGGGTGAACAACACAAAACTTGTAATACTGATTATTCTATTCATTTATCTATTCATTTCATATGTTCAATTTCCCCACTCTGTATCCACTGAATCACTGGATTGCAAGAATACAACTAACTGTAATGTATAACATAAAGTGTATATTTTCATACCTTTTAAAGAACCAGTGTGTAGGATTTAGTGGCATCTAGTGTGCAATGTTTTAGGAGTGTTTTGGTTTGTCCATTATGGGCTACTGTAGAAAAATGGCAGACATGGCCATAGATAGATAGATATTATATAATTATATGCTAATAAGTTACAGACATGCAGTAGGCCTAGATACAGTAGTTTTAAACTGTTTTTTTATTTACCTCTTTTCCTTGTTTTATCTATCTTTCTTCCAGATTGTAGAAGTCAGGATGAGCACTTCCCACGGGTCATGTCTGTTGCTTCCATCGCCAACACAATAATACGCTTGCCCATTGGATATGTCTTCGATCTCTGTGGAACCACAGCAACAAGGCTAATAGCTGTGTGAGCACACCAACACAGAAACCGTGTTTTATTTGATGTTTGCCAAGTTTGGTTTGTGACGGTTAATTTCTTTATAAGCAGTTGAGGAAAAGAAGAGCAGCAATTATCAACTAGTTATGCATTGTTAATTGGTACGATCACTTCTGAGACCTTCAGGCTGCATATTAAGATGCAGATAGTGCGAAACTGACAAAGCGTAATTTACTCGCTGGCTGTAAAAACATGCTAGTGATGTGTCAGTGTTGGCTCATGAATAAAAGAACACAAAGTCTTAACAAGCACTTTTTATTTCAACAGTTGAGCAAAACATAGTTCTCAGTAGTTCTCTCCATACAACATCTCAACGAGTAATAATGTTGCGTTCCATTTGAACCTGAAAGTTGGAATCTCAGAGTTCCCAGTTGGATATTTCAACTGGAATGTCCCCATAAGTCCTCACTGATGGCTACTCCAAGCTACTACTGTTTATTAGCACTTTTATGTCTCATGAAATCACACTACTGTCCCATCTCTGTCTGTGTACAGACGGTGTTTTTATGCACAAAAACAGCATAATGCATTTTTATCAACTGATGGCTAACAATGGCTAATGGCTAGCCTGGCAATCCCACACTTCCAAGATACTGCAGCACTACTTTGCGACATTGCCCCTAATGTACCAAATTACAGACATGAATTAAGGTACACAATACTTTTCACAAGTTGAAAGTTGTATCATCTCTGCAGCCCCTACAACCACCATTAATCTCACTGTTAGCAATGCAGCAGCTTTTTCTCTCATGCTATAATTATTTGACAAATATCCTGTTTTGCAGGTCAGGCTTCAAACAGCTTGAACCAGCTTGAATCAGGAAATGAATGCAAAATTTTCGTTGTGTTTATACAGCAGGTTTTTAATTATTTGTAGAGCCTTATAGGAAATGTTTGATCATTTGTCCCCTTAAATTACTAACCAAAAGCTTTCTGACATGGTGTCTCACTGCTTGGTGCTCTTGCATCACAGCTAAAAGGTTAAATAAATGTCTAACTATTGAAAGGATTGTAGTAACTTTGGTAATCCTAGAACTAACATCAGGTTAAGCATGCAGGCATTAACCCCAACTAACCCCAAGGAAAGTGAAAGGTGACTTCTAGTGCGTTCAACTTCATGACTTATCTCCCTGTAGATTTTTGTACACCACTGGAACACTGTTCATGTCTCTGTCAAATGCAGGTATGTTGTTTCGCATGTAGCACATCAAGAAGTTTTAGAGTAGATACCGTACAGCATTGTCTCTGTCTTTGCCTGTATCTCTCTCTGCCCTGTCTTTCACATACAGAGACATCACTGTTGCTGTACCCTGCGTTGTCATGTCTCATTACTGCTGGAACAATCCTCCACATCACCAATGCTCAGGTCTGTGGTGATGCAGCCTAAAAACCTCTGATGTGAAAGTTTATGACAAGGAAAACAAAAGCAGTATGTGACGATGTAAGATGTAACTTTTATGTTAAGGTGGGGAACCTGTTTGACTCCTACCGTTCCACCATCATCACCATCTATAATGGGGCCTATGACTCCTCTGCTGCTGTATTTCTCATCATAAAGGTAATGGATATTTGATGCAATATTTTGATAAGACCTAAGTGCTCTTCAGTCAACATTAAAAATTAAAAGCGTACGTCTTTTGTCTTTCTGTCAATAGTTGCTGCATGAAAGAGGAGTGTCTCTTCAGTCGTGTTTTCTCTTCCTCACCTCGTGTAGCATAATTCACCTCCTACGTACCTTCTTCCTGATGCCCAAAGGACATATCCCCTACCCGCTGCCGGAAACCTTTACTTATGGGTCAGAACAAACTACACCATGCTGATGAATTTTAACCTCTAGCAGCTGAATTGTTCTCACTCAGAACCTCTGCTTTGACAGAGTAAGCTGCCCCATTCGCAGGAGAGGAAGAGGAGAGGGGACTGACAAAAAAGTAGATGTAAAGAACAGGAGAGCAGAGGCTGAGACATCTGCCTTGAATGTGCTCAATAAGCCACTCCATGAGCCCAAACAAGAGGAAGGTATTGTAAATATGTGACAATTTTGATCTCAACTCTTAACTGAATGTAACCCAAAGCTATAATTATTTGTTTAAAAGGAAAATCCAACCAAAAATGTTTTAACATGCAAAGAAAGAGCAAATGTTTTACTGAATTTAAGTATTGAATCATTTGGTCGTGGGTTTTTTTGTGTGTGTGTGAATGATAGAGTCAAGAATCCAGTACCAATTTAAGTGGAGTTTGATATTCAAACAAACATCAGGTTTTCGTGTTAGAGTTCACTATAGACATTTGTTTCGACCAACATCCAACAATCATACATCATAGAAGAAGCATTCTGGCAACAGCATCAGTAGCCAGAATGCATTGCTGCCGTGGCTTTATGGATCTACCTTCTCTGTCTTGTCAAATGTAATTTCTACCTCAAGTGGAAGTAGACTCAATGGAATACACAGCAACATTTCACAACATTTAACTTTTTTCTTTAAAAACATTGACTTTCCTGTTTCCACCCTCCCTTTTTTCCTTACATCCAGAAGCTAGTTTTCAGAGCTGTGTGTTGTCCTGGCTCTTCCTCTGGCACCTGGTGTGGGTGGTCACCATCCTCTTCTGTCAGTTCATCTTCTTATCCAATGTCAACTCCATGCTCACCAGGCTAGCTAATAATGACCAAACTTTGGGTGAGGTATAAAATAATTGATTTTCTTGGACTTTTTTAAGTTTGCCAGTCACTGCTTGTACAGATTAAAGCAAGATACAAAGGTCAGATGATTTGCTCATCTTGGTGCATTTCATTATCATGTCGATGCTGCAGTGGCTGCAGTGTGTAGGTTGAATATATTTAATTCCATTGCAATGTTGCATTGTGGGTAATGTAGGTTCCAGACTTTGTCTCTGCTGCATCAATTCTTTCATGTCAGACCATGTTTTAGGAGTGCAA